CTCCTCTCCTCTCCTCTCCTCTTTTCTTTTCTTTTCTTTTCTTTCTCAATCAGCTCTGCTGGATCTTCCTTTGTTCAAGAAAAGCGCTGGAGTGCCTCAGGGCTCAGTCCTTGCCTTGTTTGCCTCCTCCATTTGTACTCTCCTCCACTGGTCTCATTCAGTCCCCTAGACTTAATTTAAAATGCCGTCTACCTGGTGCCGCCGACCAGATTTACATTTCTCCCCCCGATCTTCACACTCAAAGATCCAACAGTACACTCGTCATCTTCACTGGAATGCCTTAATTGGCATCAGAACCCTAAGACATCCGAAACAACTCTTTCCTCTACCCTGGAAGCCAAGCCTGCCTTACCCCTAGTGTGCTTCATTCTGGTGACTGACACCATTCAGCCGGTTGCTCACTCCAAAAGCCTGGGGGTCATATTTGGTTCCTTTCTTTTCCTTGCAGCATACATCAAATCCGTCAGCAAGGTCTATCAGCCCAGCATTCAGAATACACCATGGACCTGACCACTGTTTCTGACCTTTGTTATTGTCATCCTTGTGCAAGGCCCCGTCATCTCTCTGAACTACCGTGACATTCTCTGATCTCATCTTATCTCTCTGCCTCCTCTCTTGCCCTCTCACCCCAGATCCTCACCCCACCACGTAACAACCGGAGTGATCTTTTTAAAATGTAAGACCAGATCCATGCCATCCCTCTGCTTGAATCCTCGAATGGCTTCCCCTCCCTCTCGGAATAAAATTCAAACTTCTTTCTAGGGCTGACATGACTGTACATTTTTGGACCTCTGCCTTTCTCTCTGACCTTATCTTCTGTCAGTCTCCCTTGTTCACTTGGGCTTGGCCTTCTTTCTTTTGGACAGGTTGGAAGTGGGCCTTCTGTCTATAGAGAGGATCAGGCATTTCTTCCCACAACAAAGCACATTACCGTACTTCTGACACGTTTGTATATAAACTACGAAATGGTAAAATAAATAAGGACAAGGCTTTTTACAGGTGGCGATTTATGTTTTCAAAGCATTGTCACTGAATTTCGTTGGAAAGGAGCCCCACATTCTTTTCTTTGACTGGTTGTTTTCTTGGTTACCCTTACCAGATTTGTTTGCTGCCTAGCCAGCGAGCATGAGATCATCTTCAGGAAACTCTCATTCCCTTTTCTTTTTTCTTTCCTTTTCTTTTCTTTCAATGGTAATCCACTCCTTTGGCCATCTTTCAGCAAAGAGAAAGTGAATTTTAAGGCAGAGTTGTTGTATTGTGGGAGGTTCCAGGCAGAGTATAATAAACAAAGTTAAACTTCAGCTTATTTTTCATATATCATTTATCATAAAAGAAAGATCCTCAGCTTTTAGATTTTAAAGGGAATTTAGATTTCATGTAGTGCAGCTTTCTTAATTTATAGATGAGGAAACTGAAGCATAAAGAGAAAACATTTGTCTTATGGAATGGATTTTTGCCCTTTGAAATATTCACATTACATAAAATCATTAGCTCAAGAATTATCCCATTTTACAGCTTAGAAAAGTGATGTTCAGAGAAGCTCTTTACGGAGGGTTACACAACTGGGAAGAGGTTCAAGCTGGGAGTGGAACTCAGGTCTGACACTAAATACTGTTCCGGTTTTCTTGTGCTCTGTTGCCTCCCAGAGAGGAGTTATAAGCTGTTAGAAAAGCAAATTCACACTATCAGTACCTCCTGGATATGGATTTGGAAGGTTATGATATTTATGGTTATTTATTATAAAAGAATTTCTTCCAAGCTTCTCGTGGAATGTTTTAAACTTGCTTGAGTTCTTGAAATATTTTTATAATACACATGTGATATAGTTTATAATGTGTTAATTTTGTAATCAGGAAAAAATAAAGACAAGGGGCTCCTGGGTGGCTCAGTTAAGCATCCGACTCTTGATTTCAGCTCAGGTCATGATCTCACGGTTCATGGGATTGAGCCTCACATACGGCTCTGCGCTGACAGCGTGGAGCCTGCTTGGGATTCTCTCTCTCCCTCTCTCTCTTTCTGCTCCTTCCTGGCTCGTGCACATGTGTGTTCTCTCTCTCTCTCTCTCAAAATAAATACACAAACTTTTTTTTTTTTTTTAAAGAGAAACATCAAGACAGTAAAAATAAAAGGGATACATGCATACCAGAGACACATGAAAATCAGAGGAGAAAGACCCAAAAGGACTATTGCCCTTGCCCTCATAGCTCTTGTTAGCATTCTGTTGTGTCTATGTCTGTCTGTACTTAATTTATTAATTTTCTTTCTCTGTAGCACTGTTCCAGGTACATGCTATTTTTGAAGCAGTGTAATGAGTCTTGTTATTATACTTATTTTCATCTTTCCTTTTGAGACAACATATTTGCCACATAAGGTTATTTTTTTCCTCATTGACTTATTGCAGGGTATGGCATAGAACAAATAGAAATAAATTTTTCCAGAAAAAAAATTTAATTGTTATAAATTGTATGATTAAATAAATTTGTATTCTAATATAAAGGGTTTAAGAGAATGCAATTATATTGTGATAAACACAAAGGCTTGAGACCTTATCTAAAATGGTAAAAGGCCCCAAAACACTAAGCATGTAGGTCCAGTAGCATTGTAGAAGCAAAGTATTAATAGTGTATATATTTACCATTTTTTAATAAGAGTAGCACTGTGGGGGCACCTGGGTGGCACAGTAGTTTAAGCATCCAACTTCAGCTCAGGTCATGATCTCACAGTTGGTGGGTTCGAGCCCTGTGTCAGGCTCTGTGCTGACAGCTCAAAGCCTGAAGCCTGCTTCGGATTCTGTGTCTCCCTCTCTCTCTGCCCCTCCCCCGTTCACACTCTGTCTCTCAAAAATAAATAAATGTTAAAAAAAAAAAAGAAAGAAAAAAGAATAGCACTGTGACCTTTTCTTGCCACATTAGTCACGTGCAAATGGCATGTTATTGGAACACATCTTGCCCCAAACATCCATATTCTGTTACAGAATTATTAACTTTTTTGAGGCATTTTTAAAGTTCAGGACTTTATCAGAACTTGCTTTCTTAAAAAGTATTTCCATTGCACATTTTTAATAGGGGGAGAGCAGATGGCCAGATATTACACATGATGCAGGTTTTGACTTTTCCAACTTGCAGAACACTTTGACATTTAAGATGATCTTATTTGTAGGGCCAAAATCTACAGTTTTTGTATTTTTTTCAGCTATCTTTAGTGTCACAAAGATACATAGCTAAAGAGGGATCAGGATATAAGATCTGGAAAGAAATCAGTACCCAACATGCTTATCGCTGTATGAGGATATACTGCTACTTTGTTATGTGTGTGATAAGCATCATTAACACTAATGGGCCTTAAAAAATTATATGATTAGGGACATCTGGCTGGCTCAGTGGGTAGAGCATGTGACTTTTGACCATGAGGCTGTGGGTTCAAGCCCTGTGTTGAGTTAGTAGATCGCTTAAAAATAAAATATTAAAAAAAAATTGTATGATTAAAAGTGACATTTCCATGCAAATTTGAATTAGTTCAAAGTTCAGTGTTCAGATAATAAATTTTTGAAGCTGTCTTTCCCCATCAGTTCATGAAGTTTGGGGCAATTGTCCCATAATCACTTAAGAATTGAGATGTGCCATGTGGGTTAATACCTTTGTCATTATTTTGGTTTTCCAAATCTTGCCCCAGTTGTCAGATTATTTTATTTCGCAACCTCAGTCTCTCTCCCCTTTTTCATAAATATTTCACTTGTAACGAAAAGAAATCAAATGTAACTGTTTATGAAGAGCCTGAGCATTTAATTGTGTTTAGCTTATCAGGTAAAACTTCATTGTCTTCCTAGGTTTCTGTCACATGTTGTCACTCCTGTAATAGCAGTTCGAAGAGGTCCTGTGCGTATATGTGGCCTCCTGAAGAAGGGATGTGGGGGTGCCTGAGTGGCTCCATTGGTTAAGTGGCTGACTCTGGGTTTCATCATGATCTCATGGTGCATGAGTTGGAGCCTCACGTTGGGCTCTGTGTGGACAGTGTGGAGCCTGCTTGGGAGTCTCTCTCCCTCCTTCTCTCTCCCCTTCCCCCACTCTCTCACACTCTCTCTCTCCAAATAAATAAATAAATAAACTGGAAAAAAAAAAAAAGGAGATGTAAATTGCATCACACTTTTCCATTTTCTGTTTTCAGACATTATACTGCTTCAGTGTCTATAGAACATCTTCTCTAATAGGGTACCAAAGGAATAGTATTACAAAACACATAACTTGGCTTTCCTCTTTCCTTTTGATTTTTTCTGCTAACCAACTGTGTATTTTTTAAAGTATTTATTTATGGGGAACCTGAGTGGCTCAATCGGTTAGGCGTCTGACTTTGGCTCAGGTCATGATCTCACGGTTTGTGGGTTTGAGCCTCGTCTCGGGCTCTGTGCTGTCAGCTCAGCTTTTAAAAGTATTTATTTATTCATTCATTCATTCACTCATTCATTCATTCTTATTTATTTATTTATTTATAGTGATTTCTACACCCAACATGAGGCTCAAACTCATGACCCTAAGATCAAGAATCACATGCTCTACCAACTGAGCCAGTCAGATGCCCCTATTAATTCATTGTCTTTCCTTTGATCTTGAATTTTTAAAATATAAAAATGTATGGAAAATAATATGGCAAATACCCATGTACCTACACCTAGAATTAATAAATATTAACATTTTGGTATTTTGCGTAATATATATATAGTTATATATTTGAAATAGAAATTACAAATAAGGTTAGGAGCCCTCTCTGGTTTTTTTCCCCTGGACTCGTTTTCCTCCTTCACTCCATAAAGACAAACAGAGCATAAAATTTGACTGTGCTCTCTTAGTCCACGTTCGATTTTTACTGCCAGTATTATGTATGTATCCAACTGCTTAGTACAGTTTTTAAAATTTTACAAGATAGGTAAGTATCCCAACTATGAAAAGTCATTCTTTTTTAAGGAGATCTTTAGTCTTTGAAAAAATAGTTGACCTGCTTTCTGTATGTAGTCAGCAATCAACATGGCCTTATTGCTACTCGACTCATGTCCCAGCCTTTCCCTCGAGTTTCCAGTCAAGCAGGGGACACAGAACTTACAGACCTGGCCAGTGTAGGAAAAGACGGGATGGAAACCGAACGCTGTTAATTCCTGTCGGATAAGTTCTTCTGGCTAAGTCTTAAGGTCTCTTGGTTGCAGATGTGATTTATTTAAAGTTGTTGCGCTTTCAGGATAAATCTTCAAATAATTTGCTTCTTTTAGGTGCTTGTTTAAACTGCCAGGGAAATAGCAAAGGGGATCACTGTGAAGAATGCAGAGAAGGATTTTATCAGAGTCCTGACGCCACAAAAGAATGTCTTCGCTGCCCTTGTTCAGCAGTGACCTCTACGGGCAGCTGTATCATAAGTAAGGCCTTTCTCTAAATCTTCATCTCGAGAGGAAAAATCAGCCAGTCGGTTATCAATTGACATGAAGTGTGCTGATAAATGAAGTTCTGTAGGGTGCTGTAGGGGAAGGGTTTTGCAACCAAGTCCAAATACATAATACGAAATGAGACTTGAGGGAGAGGGGAGGAAATTTTTGTTAAAATCTTATTTTATCTTGTCTGTCGGGACTAAAGAAGGAGGAATGTGAAAGTTGTAAGAGCGCCTAGCTATTACAATTATTCATATTCCTATGTAAGCATCTTTCTTTTGTCCTCTACCTGAATAGATTCTCTGGAGGGCCCCCATCGTTTCCACAATAAGCTGGACAATTAAGGGTTAAGAAATAAGGTGTAGATCTTTAGTCTCTTTACCTTTGAGAGCAGATAGTAGGGAGGGGACAGCAGGTGTCTTGCATTTGTAATTGTAGCTCAAGACCGTACTAAGTTACGTTCCTGCCCTCTCTCTCTCAGAACTGGGTGACTTGGAGCCTACGTGTGTCCAGTGCAAAGACGGATACACAGGCCGGAACTGCAACACCTGTGAAAACGGCTATTACAATTCTGACAGCATCTGTACCAAGTGCCAATGTCATGGCCACGTGGACCCAATTAAAACTCCAAAGGTTTGCAAGCCCGAGAGTGGTGAATGCATCAGCTGCCTCCATAACACCACTGGGTTTTGGTGTGAGAACTGTCTGGAAGGCTATGTCAGAGACCTCGAGGGAAATTGCGTCAAGAAAGGTAAAACCTCACCTAAGGTTGTAAATGTAGTGCCTAAGCCTAGCAGTGAAAATTTCAGGACAGCTACCTTTAGCTTTAAAAAAACCTTCCAATCCCACGAGAGGAATTTTCTGGAAATAGATTTTGATAGGTATTTGCCTAAAGGGATCTCCTTCTATTCCTGCTGCTCTCCTGATGCTCCAAAGTCAACTCCAGAAATCTGAGGCCCGCGACAAAGGCATTGCAGGGTTCCCACATTTTCTCTTCATCTATTTTCATTTTTATGTTGATAATTTAAAAGTCCTCTCATGTCTTTTATCCTTTGCTTCTATATTCTCATCACTTCCAGTGACCATCAAAGGTCTTTGGAAGCAGGGACCTGTAATCTGGTTCGAAGTTCTGGCTGAGAAACCAGAGTCCACGGTAGCATCTGTCCTAACTTTGGGCCTGAGTTTTCCCATGTGTGATGGAGGAAATAGTAATTGTATTCTTTTTGATTTTTAAAAGAAGTTGTTCGTATGGCAAAAATGTTTCTTGCAGGAAAAGTCAGTAAAAATTTAGATAAAAATTAATGACTAGAAATTCAGGATGAGTTACGGATATTCTGGCTTTATTGGGTCACAGAGTGATTAGACCACACCCTCCTAGAAACCACTCTCTGATAATCTGGCAGATACTGAATCCTAGGCTGATGGACAGTCGGTCTGTGGCAAGTGTCGTCACCTCTGCCATTTTCTTAATATCCTTATTCTGTTGTGATCAAGGCTCAAAGACCGAGACTGAACCCTGTCACTAGCCTGGAGATCCTGTCACTCGGTTCTCCTTCCCATGTGCAGGCATGCTTTGTCCATACTTAGCTGGCAGGACTGTGATGATTTTCTTATTATTCACCGGGTAATATAAAACATGCTTCTTCTCGGGGTAGATTAATGTGTCTGGCTGTGGCGATGAATGATAATGACAATAGCAGTCATTTTATCGAGTGCCTGTGACGTGCCAAGCCCTGGGAACGTTACGTGCGGTAACTCTAGCTCACGTAACCTTCCCCAGGGACTCCGCAAAGTAGATATGATCATTCCCATTTTACAGATGAGGAGCCTCAGTGTTAAAAAGATTCACTTACTTATCTGTGGCCACACAGTTCTACTTGATTCCAAAGCCTGCGGTATTTCTACTGAGCTGTCCCGCATTAGCACTTTTTAATTATAAGATAGCCGCGATCTCCATGACGGGAGAATTACTACACATACAGTTAAAAGAAGCCTGTTTTTTGTTTTTTTTTTTTTTTTTTTTTTTTTTTTTTTTTTTTTTTTTTATCTTGCCTGACATCAACTTTGGACACTTAAATTGTGTTTTTCAGAAGCAGCCAGAAATACAATTTTTCTTACTCCGTTTTTGCCTCTTTTGAGGAGAATTTTGCCCTTATGAAATGCCATCAGATTTGTTGCACGTATTTTAGTTCAAATGATTGTCTTTTTATTCCTGTCACTTTTAACCAAGTGACTTAGGACTCAGCAGTGAGATATTTACTGCCTTTGCAGGAGTTTGTACGAATCTATCCAAGAGTCGAGAAGGATAGGAAGCTCCAACATTAGGATTTTCCCCAAGATTTTAATATTATACATTTTGGAGAACAGCCATGGGTGTCATCATCTAGCTTTCTAGACCTTGATTCTTTTCACTATATTTCTTTAAAAATTATTTTTAACTTGCATTACCTTAAAGCAGACTCTCATGTCCACATCCCACATCAACTTCCACTCCCATGTGTATTTCTTTTATTGTTTCTCAAAACTAGATAATTTTGTCTTTTACATTTCATTCTCTGTTTTTATTTTCAGAAGTTATTGTTCCAACACCTGAAGGTTCTACCATTTTGGTTTCCAATGCCTCTTTGACCACATCAGTGCCCACCCCTGTTATAAATAGTACATTTACCCCCACAACCCTGCAGACTATCTTTTCCGTAAGCTCTGCTGAAAACAGCACGTCAGCTTTAGCTGATGTTTCATGGACCCAGTTTAACATCATCATTTTGACAGTCATCATCATTGTGGTGGTGCTGCTGATGGGATTTGTGGGGGCCGTCTATATGTACCGGGAGTACCAGAACCGGAAACTCAATGCCCCCTTTTGGACCATCGAGCTCAAAGAAGACAATATCAGTTTCAGCAGCTACCACGACAGCATTCCCAATGCAGATGTGTCAGGACTGTTGGAAGATGATGGCAATGAAGTGGCTCCCAACGGGCAGCTGACCCTGACGACACCCATACATAACTACAAAGCCTGAGGAGCTAGAACTGTCACCCTGGATCGGTAGAGCACAGGGCTTACTAAGACAGCATCGGCTCCTGGGCCACATAAGGCCTGGGCAGAGTTTGCTGAGAAAGCAGAGGCGTATAGTGCATCTGGAAGTTTCAGGTACAAATGTGTAATGCACTTGGCCTATTACTCTTAGTTTCCCCATGAAGCTCCGAAGCAGTCACTGTCAATAAGGACTTGTAGTAAAGTATATTTTTGTACCCAACGACATGGGAGTATAGAAAGGCCGAACCCCACAGTGCAGCCCACATCTACTTTGACCTCCGAATAGACTCCTGGGGAAGTGCTCACCAAACCAGCGGAAACACGGTGATGGAAGTGGAGGGGGAGGACTCCAGGAAGACCTCATCTCCATTCCCGAAACACCTTTTTTAAAAGGAAGGTCAGGGATGATAGTCCTTTTACTGTGCTAGAAGACATCACTGCAGAAAAGCTTAATGTCTGGGCCGTCTCACAATAAACAATCCCGATTGTTTCCAGAATAGGGGCGGAAAAGTCTCAAGAGGATCTTTAGAAAAGCTTGATTTTTCCTTCCCAAATTCTTGCTCAATGATAGGATCCAAGCACGGGATAAGCTTCTAATGGTAGAAACAGGAAACAGGAAGGTGACATCTGGTAGCAGGAAGCTGATGGTCCTCCTTAGGGTCTCAGTGTAGATGATGAATTGTCTAAAAATAAGGACTGCTCCTGCCTCTAGAGAAGTAAGGTGTATATAGTGAATGTAGCATATCTGGTCAACATTGTTATTTGTATCTATTTGTAAAAAAAAAAAAAAATCATGTCATATTTTATCATCTAGAAACTATTTGTACAGCAGTTAATGGCGTTGTAAAAAGAGCATATGGGGATTGATTAAAATATGACATAGGTGGCAATATTGCTGGAGCTGGGACTCTGGTGAACGCCAGTCATTTTTGGTCCCTCTTTGGACACTGTTGAAATTTGTAAGAGGTTGAATGTTCCCAACCTTTCTTTCCCTTTCTCGGTCTCAAAGTAGAGTTACACGTTCTTTGACTTACTAGACATTCAAGCAATAGATTTTTAAGGCCGTGATTGTTAAGCTGGGATGCAGGCTGCACTCTCTAAAGTACTCACCTGATTAGACATTAGCCAGTCTATATATTTTACATAGATCAGTGTAGAACACATCCTCATGAAAAAAAAATGTTTTTAAGTGTAAAAGACAGTCTTCCAGAGGAATTAGAAATATTTTAATTCCAAAAGAAAAGCCATCATGTCACTTGGGATCCCCTGTTTTTCATGCCTGTGAAATATTTATTATATTCTTCCTCCCCGCTCAAAAAAATACCTTCCACATTTGAACATAGTTTGTCACCCGTAGGCCGCGAGGTGTCTGCCATCTTCCTGCAGGGCTACAGTTTTGCCGTTAGAGGTAGCTCTGTGGTTCGGTGGGTACAGTTAGTCCTTGCTTTTAGACCCGGTTGTTCCCTCGAGGCCACCTACTGTCGCCCTCGTCTGTTATGATATTGACAGGTTGTGGGTGCAGCAAGCCAGGGAAAGCAGCCAGAAGTCAAATATAGATATTTATTAGGAGGAACAGCAAACTGTCAGGTGGCGAGAAAAGAAGCAAAGATTTGTTAGATTAGACCTAGAACATCCAAGTTGACAACCTTGCCTGCCTTCCCTGGAGAAACGCCTGGAATTTGTTCATCCCTCTGTAGGAGACCCCTAAGCTTTCTCAGGTTTTAGAGATGACGTTCTGGAGGATGGACAGATAGATAGTCCAGTTCTGTAACCTGAGGTGCTCTGAATGTTTGGCCATTGCTCATGAGAGGAGAGGATACATTACATTACATTATATTTTAAAAATCAGTGGATATTCCTATAGGCCTTTGCAGTTCGCAAAGCCCATTGCCACACGTATGTCCTCCGTTCCTCACCCTAGCCCCTTGAGGAAGTAGTTGTTGTCCCCATTTTACAGATGAGGTTAAATGTCTCACTCAAGGCTGCACAATATGTCATTATCAGGCTTGGAATCGGGCCTCCTGACTCTGAAGCACATATATATTCTTCCAACTCTAGGCCAATGTAGAAACTGCTAGCCATGGACAGAGAGGCTGGGAGGGACCATCCCGTCTGTGAATGTTTCCAACTTCGTGAGTACAAGGTACAGTCCAGGGCCATACAGCTGGGAAGGGTTTTGTGGAAAGGACCCTGGAGAATTACTGCCTGCGGCCAGTGTTGGTGACAAGAAAACAAAACTACGGGTTTTTGTGCTTCCTCAAAGAGAACTGACCCTCGTGAGCAGGGAGGGAAATGTGTTTTCCCCAGCAGCCCCCACTGACGCACGGGCAGACAGAGCACTGCACAGTTCCAAGGAAGGGGGCCTGTCTCCCAGACTGCACCCCTCAAGGTGAGGGGTTGAGCATGGTGGGAAATAAGCACTGGTTACACGGAAGTTACCCCAGTAGAGCAAGCGTGAGTGTTTGTCGGGGTCTAAGAGCCAAAGCCAAAAATAGTCCAGATTCTGGCCATAGAGAGGTTGCTTGAAAGAGAGCCTGAAAGGCATTGCAAACATTGAATCACAAGGAACATTAATCTCTAAGGAATTACTGACAGCTCCTAGGTCAGGTTCTCAATTTTTCCCAGTGGAAAAAAAATTGAGGTCTTAAAACTGGTTTTAAGTAATATTCTTTAGTGTCCCCTGCTTTTTGCTGGCGGAAATAATTTTGCTCTAGAATATAAATCAATCATGAAGTGATCTACCGGCAAAATCAGACTAGGAAACCACTATGGAATGCATTGCACACATTCGTTCCTCTGAAGGCAGGGTCTCCCTGAGCTATGACGTTTCACACCAGGATCCCGTCGGTCTTCTAGAAAGATAATATTGGAAGACCTTTTGAATAAGTGTTAGAAATGTGTTTATTTTTGATTAAGACTAATGTGACCCTTACTGATAAATGACAGATACTGCTATTAAGTGATCGTTTTGTCTTCATTCATTCATTTTCATAAGCCCTGACGTATTTCTGACAGAAATCCTAGGTAGTGTTGTAAAATATGTCTGTCCTCCCTTATTGTCCCCTCCCTCCCTGCACTGGCTAGCTCCTAGATATCTCTTATGAATGGAATTTCTCCAGTGATAGAGAAAAATGGTGACAGAAACTAACGCTCATTTATACTAAGGTCCTATGGATTTAATGTGTTACCACTCTTCGGGATAACCTGCATTTTAAGAGAGAACAGAGCAGATGTGACGTGGGAGGAGAGATTTGGGGGGAGAGGATTTGTAGAGGTGTCAAATTATATGGCTACTCTCTAGCCCTAACATTCCCCAGAAAACGGATCATTAAAGCGATACTCATGACCCCACTAGTTCATTTTGGTCAGAGAGTGCCTTCCGGACGTTTAGCCCTTCTCGTGCTGTTTTGGAGGCAGAGAACTAAAGCAATAGAATGTCTTCCTAAGAGCTTCAGTCGGGACGGGGTTATCAGATCATTCACCACGGTCCTATATTTTTTGTAGGACTTATGGTAAACATAACACCACTCATCATGAACATTCCCTGGTTCTTATGCTTTGAAGTGTGTGGGCAGGAGTTGAATCTACACATCTCAAGGAAAGAAAGCTCTCTGATAAAAAGTTGAGAGAAGTACAGAGCAACCCAGCGTAACCTGTTAGAGCAAGGAAAGCATTTCTGGCCTCATCCACAAAGACTTTTGGTCCGTTATGATCTTGACGGCATGGGGCTTGGGAACTAACATGAGTTTGGCGTGTGTGGGGAGTGATGAAAGGTTAGCACAATTTTCCTCTTTAACCCTGAGCCAGTGACCATGCCGAGGGAAAAAGCAGGAAGAACACACCGATTCATCCGAAGACATCAGATCACGTCAAATGGACTGAAGGTTATGGATCGTTAAAATGGCAGTGGTTGAATGATGCTTTTTCAAAGGCAGTTGGGAACCCCTGTTACTCGTAACTTACACACAGGCAAGAATTGTGACGGTGGTGAGCACATGAGCCCAGGGCTTCTGAGCCAACTTAGCCCAAAGCCCAGTGATTCACAGCTGAGTTTTAATGCTAGGCACATGCACTCTGCCATAGGTTACATCTTAGCCCGGGCTATTAGGGGATGTTCCTAAAACATTAAACTCCTATGTATGTCACTAAAATTCTAACACAAATTCTAAAAACGTATCTCCTACAGATGCTGTACTAGGCTTCATGATGCATTTCTAAATTTGTGTATGATTTGAATATATGAAAGAATTTATACAAGAGTGTTATTTAAAATTATTAAAAAATAAATGTATATAATTTGTACCTATTGTAGATTTGTTGTTTTCCTTTTTTGTGTGTGTGGTCAGTGTTGTTGGAAGTCTTTTAATATATGTCACAGAGCATCTATTTTCAAACCACTTCACGAAAATCTTTGAACCCTTTGTTGATTTACTATGCTTTTTGTTTTAAGTTCCTTTAAATCATGTTTTCCACTTAGGAACAAACATGCCACGAGATTCCCCCTCTTGGAACAAAACAAAACAACCTGACGGGGGGGGGAAAGCATATATTAACAGATATTCTTATTTGTACTTTTGCCTGTACCCTATGAGATTCATTAGGCTTTCCATGAAAATTTTAAAGAAAAAACGTGCTCCTTTTAAATTTTGTTTTCATACATATAAAAATTTTCCTTTCTTCATATAAATCTGAATGGAATCATGTTCTATATGTTTATTAGACAGCCTGCAATGAGAGTACATATTTTTATGATTTTGAGGAACCCATGAAGATCCTGTATTTTGACAAAGCTCAATGGTATTTAATGATGGGATGCCATCTAGACATCCTAGGGGCACTTTGAAAAAAGAAAAAGTAGGTCAGGCCTTTCTTTGTGCTGAGAGCTTTATTATGTCTTCAATTTTTCTAAGTTTATTTATTTTTGAGAGAGAGAGAGGGAAACAGGGAGACAGAGGATCCCACAGAGAATCCCTGATGCAGGGCTTGAACTCACAAACCCAGAGATCATGACCTGAGCTGAAATCAAGAGTTGGAAGCTTAAAGGACTGAGCCATCCAGGCACCCCTGTGCTGAGAGGTTTATAAACTTCAGTTGGTTTATTCACCTTCAGGTGGTTGCTATTTAAACTTTAAAACCCTGTTTTTCCTTTCTTTTCTGGTCATCCAAGAAAATAAGTTGTATTGCTCTATAATCCTACCTTATATGTTTCTATATGTGATTCTATACATGTAGTTCTATAATGTATACAATTTGGGTATTATTTTAAGGGAACAGAATAAGCATGGCAGAAATCTAAGTAAAATTTCAAAAGAAATATGTGTACAGTGCCAAAAAGATTACTTTTATAGTGCTGTATTCATACCTTGGATGAAAGTGCATCAAAGATATTTACTAGGTTATCAAAATTGGGTGTATTCGTTTTCCATGGGAGTATAAGTTGCATATGTTTTCAAAAATTCCACATGCTCCATTATGGTTAAACCAGTAACTTCCAAGTAACAATTATGTTTAGTTACATTTATAAAGTTAAGCTAAATTCAAAAAAACAAAATGTTTTTCATGAGGTGATTATATTAGAAGTGTTAACTGACAGGCTTAAAAGTGATATTTTAAGTGAATGTTAAAAAGACATCCTTTCTACATATAAATTAGCTTTTCAAGGCAATTTTATGAAAAGATTATTGTAGTACTTCTTGTACAGGCTTTCTAATACTTCCACTTACAAAATGAAAGCCATCACAGAACGTTAAATGTGTTTTTTGTATTAAAACGTAGGTTTTAAACC